AAGCTTCTGATGATCAAACTCCTCAGTATTCCGATCTTCAGTCTGTAGTTATGGTGAGACTAAAAATTAAGTATTATTCCCGCATATAAATGCTTTTGTATAGTCTCCTCATGAGTGTTCCGTTGGAGCGTATGACTTCAATATCCAGAAAGGGTAGTCATTCATCTTCCTCCACCTCCATTGTGAATTTTATTCTTTAATCAGATTATTCAATAAAATTGAGGAATACATTCAAGTTTTCTTTACCATGTGACCAAAGTGCAAAGTAGTCATCCAGCTATCACATAAGCACTCTTAGTTTAGGTGGCGACTTCTCAAATTCCCTTTCCAATTTGTTCATGTATACATTTTCCAAAAGAGGTGATTGTGGAGATCCCATCAGTAGTCCAAATATTTGGTCGTAGATACTGCCGTTAAAGGTAAAATATGTGGTCCTTACTGTCAGGTTAACCAGTCGTGTTAACAATCCGTTCTACCTACAGGATATCCTCTTCTCGCTCCAATATCTCCAGCAAGGCGCTTACCGCCTTCTCACCTAAGATGTTTGTTTACATGGATTGTACAACAAAACGTACCAACAGTTCCGACCCCACCGACCCAATGTTTTGGTTTCTTTAAGAAAATGCATATGAATTTTTAACTGTATTCGATAATATGTAATTTACTTTCTAGAGCTTCAAGCTAATGAATTTCGCTAGTTTGGGTATTTCTCCATGCTTGTTGTTGACTGTTAATCTTAGTAGATTTCCTTCCTTGTGTATCTTCGGTAGTCTGTAGGCTGTCGGTGCTCTTGCGCCATTTTTGATTAAAGATTTCATCATCCATCTATCAATTTTCCCAGTATTATGCATTTCCTTTAGCATATTCTTCAGTTTCCCGTTGATCTTCATGGTTGGATCCATCCTTAGTCTTTGATAAGGATATTTTCCATTTTATCCGTGTAATGTTTCCTGTTCATTACAACCGTCTCTCCTCCCTTATTCGCATAAGACGTCTGGGAATGTACCACGTCCACGATCCGACTCTGGAAATTATCATGCATGCAATGGACTCCGGACTAAGTGCTTTCCTCTAAGTCTTCTTACCAATATGACTAAGTTGCGAAAACAAGGTCAAACTATTTCTATATTTAACGAAAGGTGACTGCGATCACACAAAATACCACGTCATCTTAGTCATCATACGTTCGATTAAAAATACGTTTGCTTCATCGACAACCCCACCAAATAAAGTGATATTGGATAAGTCTTAGCCTTCCTTGAAATTCCCATCTGCCCTGTGACCCAAGGGCACTCATGGCAATGTGGCTGAGTGGGTAGCATATCAAGCTCACATGCTGAACTGTCACGGTTCGAATCCAGCTGGGGGTCGAAACTGCAGTCCAACCTGGATGAGAACAACTTTGGGGAAAGCAAGGCTAGGGACCAAAAATTCTCTTAAATAAGGAACAACCGAAGAAAATGTACACTTCTCTTTATACATTGTTCTGATGTTTCACTTCCTAATTGGGCCAGCTCACTTTTTCGCAAGCTGCTAGGAAGGTGAAATCAAGAACCGAGTGGAAAGGTCTATTTGCCTATCTTGCCCCAAATATCAATCTCTCTTCATCCTGTTTAGGAGTATTCAAACGCATTAATTTATTAATCTTAATGGATAATTAATCTGAATTAATATATCCCTTATTCCACAGATCTCCTGGTCCCTGTGGCTTATATCTCCTAGACACAAACTCCTAATTATCATTCATTTTATAACTCCTACTTTAGCAATATATGTATGATTATATAAGAAATAACTAAGGATACTTATACACATCTCTGCCAAAATTTTTACCTTCATTGCTCAGTAATAAATCCAGAAAGGGCAATTTATTCTCCTTTTCTAACTCTTTAAAAATTTTCATTGAAATGAGGTTTTCGAGAATATCAGTAAACAACAAGAAGTGGCTTACTGGGCATTTGGCTTGGATTGAATTTAATAGATTAGGCAATATATAACATTTAATGAATGGGGCTCGTCAAACCCTGATGATGACTGATAGTATTCTACTTACTCACATCCTTGAACATAAACAAACGTGCATTTAGATGTATTTGAAAGGGAGCTAACCAAACCAGTCTATATCTTATTTCATTCCGTTTTTCTTTGTTGTTGGTTAGACTTCGTAAATTGGTTTAAGATCCAAACTGGAAGGAATGAAGAGAGGTAAAGTTAAATCACTTCGCAACTGATCATGTAAATTCATCTCTCGGCATCTGGTGATATTAACCTTAGCTAAACACCTTGATACGAAATATGAATCAGCCCTTAACTGTGCTTAGTCATGACATAGAGCTTTAGGAAATAATAATCACCATTGTGGTGATTTTCACTTCTGCTTAAAGATTATTTGTTTTGAGCACTTCAAACAAAATGAAACTTATCCTAATAATTGTGCCCAAAAAATTAATTACGTTCCAATTACAATTTTTAACCAATTATGTGAACTGTGCGACACTAGCGAATTTTAATCCCTCCTGAGGTCCCGAGGAGACAGATGATGTCGAAATTGATGATAATCCACATAACTCATGAAAAATGCTTGGTTTGATGACTTTGTGGGATCCTCATAGGCAAGACTTCGTCCCGTCTGACAGAATCGAATGTTCTGTGAACTTGTGTCGGGCCGGCTGGATCACTCCTTTCGTCATGCGGCTCGCCTCAGGCAAGGAATACAGAAATGAACGGATCATACTGACGAGCTTAGACATGCAAACCAGCATTATTGTCTTGGTTCAGCCCGTCGTGCCATCCTGGCCCTCATACTTGCGAACTCTCCGCCCTGTTCCTACTCTTTGGGGCCTGATTGTGATCGCCTCATCCGTCATTCATCCATCCTTCAGCCACTCATTCTGTCCATTCATCATTCTCGACTCACTCCCCCCTACC